ATAATAATTGATGAATTTAAGCTGGTAAATGTTCAGACAAATGATCTGCAGCAATATTGTCAGAGCAACAGTTGGAACACGCTCTGATGGAATGGGAGCAAAAGCAAATATCTGAGAACGACATGGTGTCAAGACAATGAGGTTAGAGCGAAGAAGAAATAATAACACATGGATATTTATGAAGATTTGCAGCCTGTTTGAGTCTACATTAATACAAAGAGAGGTGGAATTACTGTGTCAAGTCTTTATCTTATTGAGGCGGAGGCGATATTCCCTCAAGTGGCCGCCTGTCTCGTCAGAACTACTTTAATCAGAGTTAAGGGGGTCTGTCGTCTGCAGATAAATATCTAAAATACTATTCAGTCTAAAGGGTCGTTTGTATGCTAATGCAAAGGTTACTTCTGCATACACCTTTGACACAGATGTTTTGCTGTAAGGTTATGCTCACAAATGAAAAACAAAAGAACAGAAACCAATTTGGTTGAAGTAAAAGAATGATGGGAGAAGAAGATGAAAAGCGGAAGAAGACAGATGAAGGTAAGGAGAGAGGAGAAGATACTAGAAGAGAGATATTCCCCAGGAGGGTGCCATAGGTAATTAAAAGAGGATGGACAGAGCTGGAGTTTTGCCAAAGAGAGCTCCAGCTCTCCTCAGACTTCTTCCTCAATCAGACCTTCTGCCTAAAGCCAAATTGCTGCCAGTGATGCGCACACACACACACACACACACACACACACACACACACACACACACACACACACACACACACACACACACACACACACACACACACACACACACACACACACACACACACACACACACGCGAATCTGTGAATGCAGCGAGTTTTCAGCTCAGTGGATATGTGCATGCAGTGGGATAAACCACCCAATAACAGCAATCAAAAATATTCCTGGTTTGGGCAACAATGCAGGTAATGCATTCACTTCTGCTGGTGCACTGACTGAGACAACAATTCACAAAACACTAAACTCAGACATCACACACACACACACAAACAGATACATGCATGCACACACACACATCAGCATCTGTGCTGCTGTACAAAGCTGCAGCAAGGGCAAACGTTGCTAACCAGAGTTTGACTGCAGTAAGCACATATACATTCACTGCACAGCTCAGAGCTGAAGGCAAGCACATGAGTATGCAGTGCACACGCTCAGACACACTATCAGTATACACACACACACACACACACACACACACACACACACACACACACACACACACACACACACACACACACTTGGGTGTGTAACAGCAATAAAGATGCAGTCTAATTACACAACAGTGACATATGAATCTGGCCAGCTTTTGTGCAGTCGATACTCTTATTTTGCTGCTCTCTTTGCACTGGAAGACCATAATAACCGTCCCCACGGGGAGCATGTTCAGCTCAAATTCAGCTTACAGATGAATTGTCTGCTGCTCGTTTTGTTTTGTACAAGATCAACTGTAATTGAAGCTGCAGCTCTATTACATGCATGTTTTTTCTGCCTTTATTGTTTCACTGATCGAACATCTATACCCTCTATTCTTGCACGTCAGCATGCTAAATAGGCTGCACTCATGATTCAACATGGCATCCATTACCAAATATCTCCTACCCTGCTAGTGGATTCTTTTATCTTCCTATAGATGAAGGGTGAAAGGTAACTCATGTTGTCTTGTTCTTTGAGCTCTGTGATCACCACTCCAGGTAAATATAACTCCGAAGCCTGCTAAAAGGATCACAGCTCACAATAGGTGGTCTACATGCAGCAGCAAAGAAAATGCCGAAGAACTTGCTTGAAAACTGACATGCATGTCCGTGCACATGATGCATGCACACACATACACACATGCATGGAGACGACAGCTCCGCTGGGAGCTTTCTCTCCTCCTCGTAGGTATAATTGTGTTTTGGCTACGCTTTGCTTTGCTCCTCTCAGTTGTGACTGAGGCCCCAGATGAAAAGCTGCAATTAAAAGAATAAAGGTGTGTTTGTTGTGTGAGAGGGACGGGCGCAAGGAAGAAACGAGAGGCGAGACACACATGAGTCACAGTAAACCTCCATCTGGATATGAAATCGGCGCAAAAATCTCAGACACAAAGAACTCGGATCTTCCAAATCCATCCGGCTAAGCTGCCATAACTGAAGGATGCGTTTAGCACAGGTGCTTGTGGAATTTGTTGAACAACAAAAGCAGCTAAATTAGAGCAGATATAGGCCGAGGCACACATAGCCCCACTCAGTTTGTGCAAAGAAGTAAAAAGTCAAGCGCCTTAGCAGTGGCATTTAAGAAAAGGTTATCTTGTTTGTGTGAATGTGTGTGTGTGTGTGTGTGTGTGTGTGTGTGTGTGTGTGTGTGTGTGTGTGTGTGTGTGTGTGCTTTAGTGAGAACACAAACTGGGAAGTCACTTTTTCCATTTAAAAAAAGAATATTATTATTCAAATGAGAAAACACATACTGTATTAGATCAGACGGCAAATTGAAAAAAGCTGAAAAATCTCCTGCGATCCAATTAGCAGTTAGTTAAAAAGGAGGAGCAGCTGCACGCAAGGCAAACTTTTAATGATCTCCACACACAATGCAACACGTGTGTGCATGCACACAAAAGATGCACGAGCACAGCATGCTCACAGATCAGGCAATAATCGGCCTGACCCCTGGACAGGGGGAGTCTCAGAGGTGTTGTTGAGATGATGCAACGGACAAAGCACGCTGTGAAACGAGCACACATGTTAGCACATTAGAGCGTGTGCTGGGATCACACACGGGTGAAAAAACGGTGTGTCTCCAGGAGGAATCAGAGAGGGCAGGGTGTCATAAAACCAAAGATATACGGCCACTTTAAAGAGCTGGAGAGGTGTTGGTATTGAAAATAACTGCAAGGTTTTATTGTAGAGTTTGTGTGTCTGAGGCAGCTAACTAAATCCACACGGAGCGTCCACTTCATCCATCTGAACATCATCCGTCTTGCGTTGAATAATTCACTCCTGGATCTGAAAAGCTTCACTTTAATCTGCTTTTCTATCTTTTATCTGGAGGGAACTGTTGGAAACAGGCTCCTAAAAGGCTCCAGCTGCAGCACACACACACAAAAAAGGTTTGTGCTTTACAATAACTCATGAATTGGATTCGCCCAATCAAAAGGAAGTTTGGCTGCAGGACGTGTGACCCTCTGGCCTCCCTAATCCTGCAAAGTGACTCCCCAAGGTTCTTTATCAAAGACCCTGCTGGAACAGGTCACCCTCCAGAAGCCTTAAATCCTCCCAATTTTCATTGCCCTGGAGGTCCTTGCACCTCAACACTCCTCTGATGTGTCGGTTTTATTTCAAAAGCATCCAGACAAACCTTATCACCAGACAAACAAGCCACAATGTGAAAAACACAGGATTTATCATCCTGAATATGTTGTGTTTGAATTAAAACAACACTATAAAAACATGATCTCTATGTTATTTAGCAAATTCTACATATTACATCAAGTCAGGCTTAAAAGGTGTCAATCTTTGCAGAGAACTAAATGTTTTGGTGCATCAAGGGCAAAAGAAGGCGATAAATTTCCAGACATCTGTAAGATCAGTGAAACGTTTATCCTCCAGCATCTTCAGCTTGTTTCTATGCATTCAATATCTCAGTCTGTCTTTACTCTGACACTCTAATCTACTGTTTATTTGCACATTTTTAAGGGCAAAGTACACTATGGTTCTATCCAGAGCCTGAAACGACCTATTTGGAACAGAACAGGGTCCCGTGTGATTAATACAGCTCAGTGAAACTCCTAAAAACTCTTGGATTGTTTTACCTGCGCGTTTCTCTGCTTTAGCTTCTAATTAATGAAAAAGATTCAGATTTTTTTCTGTCTGTGTGGGGGCTTTGATAGATTTAGTTTAACTGTATGTTTGGGTGTTATCTTCACTTTCAAAGTGAGGTCGAGGGAAACAGAGGCTGCACCTGTTGTTCCCTGTGGTTGCTGTGTTGTGGGCTCAGCACCTGCTCACACGGCTGCTGTGTGGCTGTCTGTGTGGGCAACAGGGAAACCATTCACAGGCGCTCAGACTACCGCCTGCAACCCCTCTCCCTCAATGCTGGTTCACTCAGCCATTTCTGCACTATTTCTTTTTCTTTCTTGTTTTTTTACTCTCTCTGCTCATCCCCACACAGCCATGCCAGATTGCTTTCTGCCACACTTTATCCTTTATACCCTCAATCTGTCTAGCAGTGTTTCTGTCTCCCCAAATCTCATCCTCCTCCCACGTTTCCCCCCCAAATTTTTTTCCCTTTTATTTTGCCCTTTCCAGATGTTTCTTTTTGCCTTTCAACCCACACAGTGACACAAACATAGACGCCAGCAGCTGGGAGATGTTATGGCTTTTTTGTAGGACTTGATGGCTTTTAAGTATGAAAATGGAGTTGTAAACAATGCATTTGATACTGGGCCCAGTTAGAGAAGGCCACTTAGGCTGTGAGTGTGCGTGATTATGTGTAATGTAAATATACATGCGATGACATGATCAATTGACTTTAGGGTTTTCCAACCATCACACTTGACCTTTTCTTCTATTAAGGATCGTAAACCATCACGTAAACACATTTTTATACGACGTCATCAAATCACAAAGAGAACCAATAAATCTCATTCATTCCGACCCAAGACACATAAGAACTGTGATCCATATAAATAAATAACACTGATCCTCCATGCCATCCAGTTTTGCAATAAGATCCAGGAGCAACACGTGCAGGAGCAATGATGGAGTGATAAAAACATCTAACTTAAAGCAGACACAAAGACCAGCTCCAGCCCAGAAGGTCCAGACGGTGCTGAATAGTCACTGATTAGAGGATTCAAAAAGATGCAGCATCGTCTTGGCACATAATGGAAAACTGCGCACATACCTGGTCACCCCCCCCCCCCCCCCCCCCCCCCCATCACCCCCCTCCTAGATCTTCCTCCACACAACCCCAATCCCTCCGTTTGGCTCACTCACCGCAGCAGATGGCCAGGTATGAGAGGCTGAAGCAGGTGCCAACCCGCCCTCTCTGGTGCCTCTGAGGAGGAAAAAGGCTGACGGCTCTACAGCAGCTTCTCTGTGAAGGGAAGAGCGTTCCTGAGCCGCACCTCACCTGTCTCTTCTCTCTGTGATTCCAGCGGCGCGTCGCCGAAGCATCCCCGTTTTTTTTATTATTAATATTTGAACCGAGCGCGTCCAAATTACGCCCAGTCAGTGAACCAGACACAACTGTTCTCACACCCCTCCCTGGAGAGAAAGAGTCAGTTCCCCGTAAAAAGCGACTTCTCAGGTTGTCTTGTTATCCAGCGAATGTTGTTCCAGACCCCTGTGCAATCCCAGATCCTGCAGGACGAAGTCTTCTGTCGGGAGGAGGAGGAGGAGAAAATTTCTGCACTTGCTTTGAAATCACTACTCAGCAGAACGTAATCCCCGGTTTGGATTTACTGTGGCGAGGTGAAATGTCCAGCGCAGAGCAGGCACGGTGACAGCGAGGGGCCCATAATTCACACCCGCCCCTGAAACGGTCCTGCAGTGGATCAGTGATGAATGGAGCATCTCTCTCTCTCTCTCTCTCTCTCTCTCTCTCTCTCTCTCTCTCTCTCTCTCTCTCTCTCTCTCTCTCTCTCTCTCTCTCTCTCTCTCTCTCTCTCTCTCTCTCTCTCTCTCTCTCTCTCTCTCTCTCTCTCTCTCTCTCTCTCTCTCTCTCTCTCCATCTCACGCGTGCACTCGCGTTCATTTTGTGTTAAAAGATCTATTTGTTTGACATTGATGGACAAAAATCAGGCGAAAACGTTTCACATGAGAATAATATTTCATATTTGATAATTAAATGATCAACTATAACAATTAATTGAAAATGCAGGCAAAGATAAACACACATTTTGAGCAGGCTACAAAGCATCATATAAAAAAATAACTCTGCACAAAGAACTGAAATAGAATTAATTAAAAGTTTTAATGCTCAGATGAAGAAATGTTTCAAAGATAAATCAGTGAACACGTAACAAATACATTTTTCAAATTGTTTTCTCTTTGTTTTTCATCGTTATATTCATCTATAGACCTTCATACACCTTACTATTTGTAGAGTATATTCTACAAATAGTATATATATATATATATATATATATATATATATATATATATATATATATATATAATGTAAGTCATAATTATGAGATAGTGAAGTCATAAGGTAGCTAAGTCATAATTAGTGGAATCATAATTATGAGATAAACCTAAGTCATTATTATAAGATAGCTAAGTCATAATTATAAGATAGTGAAGTCATAATTATGAGATATAGCTAAGTCATAATTATAAGATAGTGAAGTCATAATTATGAGATAAGGTAGCTAAGTCATAATTAGTGGAATCATGAGATAAACCTAAGTCATTATTATAAGACATCTAAGTCATTATTATGAGATTAAAACATTTGTTTAAATCAGGGTGGCAGGAACAGGCTTCCATAGAGGAAAATTATCAGTCACCTGTCATTCTCAACAAGACAATTGTAATTCTTGAAGGGGATATTTCCTAACACCACTGCCCCATTAAGACAGATATGTTTCCTAAATTAATAAACTCCAGTCAGATCAAGTTTGAATTTATTAGGGTGACCAAAACGACCAAACAGCTTCCAACAGTGCTGCAGTACCCTCATCATGTGAGCCATTAAATAAAAGTTCACAAGTTTTCTTTCAGTGAGATTACGGTCTACGATTTGAATATTTAAAACTGTCTAATATTATTCATCCACTTTTTGCATTTATGTTGCTGTTATGTTTGTTTATTGTAATAAAAAAGTCTCTATGCGACATTTGCACGAAGATTTGAAAACGGTATACGTCACTTCCGGATGAAGTAGGACTGTAGCAAAAAAAAAAAAAAAAAAAAAAAAAGAATTCCAGCTAGCTTGCCACCGACAACTGGTCAGTCCGCTGAAGTAAAACCATCAATGTCAAGGCACAGGCAGGCTTTTGGAGGTCTTGTGCTGCTTCTGTGTAGCCTACATATCCGGGCACACCATCCGGTGAAACGGTGAGTATCTCACTTTCAAGCTAACCAGCTAGCCGCTAGCTGCTAGTCTTTCTGTCGATACTGCTGGTAGCTAAAATTGCCACACAAGAGACAATAGCCTAGTTTACGTTACAGCTGTGGCACGCCGGCTTTCTGCGTCTATATTACCCTTACATTATTGGATAAGCTAGAAGTTAAAACCGGTGTTAATCATGTGCATTAGCATGACAGTCTGAATATCATCCTTGGTCAGAAGCATTTGATATCTTAAATGTGACCATCTGCTGTCCTTAAATAACCTAAAATGGTTTAAATTTACTTCAGCATCTCTGAAATGATCCCTGTTAAAGCTAATCATGTAATCCACGTCAGTTAGCGTTATGGTTGCCTTTTCCTCATCGTGGGATGCCAGACATCATACTCAGCATCTGCTATTGAATCAGGTTTGCATCCAGGAAAGATCGATCTGCAGGAAGTGATGTCTGTTTAAATCTGTTACATGATTGACTTTTTAATAGTGTTTTTTTTCATTTGTATTAGTATCTAGCTGGTCTAGTGACAACACCAGAAGACCTTGGTGCAGTGGTGTGCCAGCTGACATCAAGACCAAAGCTTTTCTGAAATCAGGTATGCTCAACACATAACTGTGCAAGGTACCAAAGGTGCTTCTTTTAAGAAAAAAAAAAGAAACCCTATCTAATTAATGGGAGGGGTGCTTTCATATTCCTGAAAGCAAAAAGAGGATAAATGCACACAATAAATACTACCTTGAAAAATGTATGTGTTTTTTATACATTTTCATTTAAGAGCTCATCTTTGACATAGAACAAACCTCATAAAGTCAGCCGTGTGATTCGGTGGACTTAAAATGATGATAGAATTATCCATCCATCCATTTTCTTTTGATCATTCGGAGTTGGGTCACGGGAGCAGCCGCCTAAGCCGAGAGGCCCAAACTTCCCTCTCCTTCTCCTCTGGGGGTATCCCTAGGCATTCCCTGGCCAGCTGAGAGACAGCCCCTTCAGCGTGTCCTGGGTCTTGCTTGAGGTCTCCTCCTGGTTGGAGGTGCCTGGAAAACCCCACCAGGAGGTGCCCAGGAGGTATCCTAAATAGATGCCTGAGCCACCTCAACTGGCACTTCTCAATGCCAGCTCCTCTTGATGATTATAAAATAATAAAATGTAAAAAGAAAAAAAAAACATCGTTACCACAGGGATGGGTCAAATGCAGAGATGTAATATCACCAGTGTGTGATGATGACTAATAGGACTTTTAACTCATTCGCTGCCAGCCGTTTCCTGATCGGTAAAGGCCTTCGCTGCCAGCGTTTCTCACCTTTTTCACTTTTTTTTAAGAGTCACAGAACGTTGCGCGCTAGGATGATGTCGACACCAAAACAACCAAAACAAAGAGGAGACTCACCTCTTACATCGGGAAGAATCTGCACGTTTGAGCATTATCCGTTCTTTCATAATCCGTTGTTAAATTGTGATCGGCAGAAACTTTTCCGGTTCGCGCCTCACTTTTTTTACAGCAGCGGCCCAAAACGATCTCCTAACACATGGATTTTCTGCTTGCTGATCATGTGACGTGTGACATATGCGGATGAAGATCAGCTTTAGAGCTGAGATGTTTGTTCTCATGGTGCGGGGGCTCGTTCCGATGCCCACACAGTAAAAAAAATGCAAATGATGACTTTATTCGTCATTGGCAGTGAATGAGTTAATTTTATCTTTAATATAAAACAGGTTCAAGCTGGATTTTAAAGCTGAACAAAGCTAAACAGTCTGTCACCATAACCATCTTTTGTACGTTCATTCCGTGTGTTTCATCCATCTGCATTACTTGGTTCTTTTTTAACACAGCAAAAGAGTTGTTTGACTACCACTGTAGTCATCCTCAGCTTGGCCGCTGTTGGCGTTACTTCCTTCTTCCGTGTCACCCTCTGCTGCCCGCACTCCCCTCGCCGACCCACCATCTAGTTATTTCATGTCCAAGAAGTGTTTTTGGGCAAAGACATTGATGATTTAGGGAACTACTCCCACCTACCGGCTTGGCATGTCAATGAATGTGCTTTACATGCCCTGGATTATTATTATTATTAATTTTTTTTGCTACAAGGTGGCGTCGTCCCAAGTTTTTAGCCTAAATGGTCGGGATAGATGTTCGGTCTTACAAAAACCCACCATTCTGTGTACATAGCCTTAATTTGCATCCTGTAATTAAAGAGGGAATATTTACACAGTGGTGGTTTGTCCATGGAGGTTATTGAAATCTGTGGTTTGGTGAATTTATGGTGGAAAATGAGGCAGCGTTTAGCTTTCTTGATTTATTCTTAACTTCAAAGATCGCAGCAGGTCAGTGCCTCTAACAATCTGGGAAAACTCCATGAATAATGGGTCAAAACTTCCAGAACCCAAACCTACTCGGGCTCTGTTCTCTGCTGGTTCGTGACACGCACACGTTCATCTTTTTGCTAAAAGTTGGAGCATCTTTACAGTTGTAGGAAGATGCGGGTGGAGTTAGGAGGTCCTTTTAGCGTTTGTTACCTTACAAACTAATGATTTTTGTGACCTTTTCAGGTATTTTTACACTGAATGTCTGTGTCTGCTATCCAGGTTTGTACCAGAAGATGAACGGTCTGTCCATACGGGAGCTATGCTGCCTGTTCTGCTGCCCCCCCTGCCCCAGCCGCATTGCAGCCAAACTGGCTTTCCTCCCTCCAGAGCCCACCTATGCGTTACTCCCTGACCCAGATCCAGGTTCAGGAGCTACAACTGTGTCTGCTCCCAACTCTGGTGCTGCTCCTCCTTCGCTGGGAGCCCCGGGACTGCGTTCACGGCTGAGCACTAGTAGTGGAGGTGACAGAGGAGGTGGTGGAGGTGGCGGCGGCGGTGGCAGCAGCAATGTTAGTGGTGGCGGCACGGCCAGCACCACTGGCAGCACTAGCGTTGTGGGTGAAGGAAGGTGGAAGCTGCATCTCACAGAAAGAGCAGAGTTCCAGTATTCACAGAGAGAGCTGGATGTGACGGATGTATTCCTGACCAGATCCAGCCGGGGGAACAGAGTCGGATGTATGTACATTCGCTGTGCTCCCAATGCTAGGTGAGTCTGAGCATCCTGAAACACACACGTTCCTCTTGATGTGTGTTTATCCTCAGTCACACAGTTCAATAACTTATCTTTATTCTTAACTTGTTCCTTTTTCCTTTTGCTTCAGGTTCACTGTGTTGTTTTCTCACGGAAATGCTGTGGACCTGGGTCAGATGAGCAGCTTCTACATCGGTTTAGGAACACGCATCAACTGCAACATCTTCTCCTACGACTACTCAGGCTACGGTGCCAGTACTGGCAAGCCCTCTGAGAAGAACCTTTATGCTGACATCGATGCTGCCTGGCACGCCCTGCGCTCCCGGTAAGCAAAGAACCTGTTTCAGTCACAACCAACAGCCAAAATGCCCATCAGGGTGCAGTTTAGAGATAAAATGTTAGCAGCTACTCACATCACCGGCCAGTACTGTTTTGAAGAAGAGAGAATCTGACAGGCTAGATTTCCATCAATCAGCTGAGACACATCCTGTGAGGAATTCTTTACCTGACTCTCATTTACTTTGTTTTTTAACATAAAGTGGTATTTCTACAGAATGGTTGTCAAATGTTTACTCTACTAGGTTTCAAACTCAAATTAGTTTTTCTTCATGTGAAAGATAAACATTGGCAATGATAGCTGCCTAGGTGTTTGAGCTATAAAGAATAAAAAAAAAATGTTGAGCATGGTTTAGTGTGTTTTGTTGGGGAAAAGTCCTTGATTCTGTTCATAACCTTTATGGACAGGATTTCTAGGCACAGCCAAGGTGTGGAAGGCATCCGTTTTGGTGGCCTGAGGATCAGGTCTCTGCTTTGCAGATGATGTGGTTCTGTTGGCTTCATCAGAACGTGATCTTCAGCTTTCACTGGAGCGGTTCGCAGCCGAGTGTGAAGCAGCTGGGATGAGAATCAGCTCCTCTAAATCTGAGACCATGGTCTTGATTCGGAAAAGGGTAGAATGCTTTCTCCAGGTCAGGGATGCGGTCCTGCCCCAAGTGGAGGAGTTTAAGTGTCTCGGGGTCTTGTTCACGAGTGAGGGAAAACTGGAGCGTGAGATCGATAGGCGGATTGGTGCTACTTCTGCAGTGATGCAGGCGTTGTACCGGTCTGTCGTTGTGAAGAGAGAGCTGAGTCAGAAGGCGGAGATCTCGATTTACCGGTCGATCTACGTTCCTACCCTCACCTATGGTCATGAGCTTTGGGTAGTGGCCGAGAGAACGAGATTGCGGATACAAGCGGCCAAAATGAGTTTTCTCCGCAGAGTGGCCTTAGAGATAGGGTGAGAAGCTCAGTCATCCGGGAGGGGCTCAGAGTAGATTCGCTGCTCCTCCACATTGAGAGGAGCCAGTTCAGATGGCATCTGGTCAGGATGCCTCCCTGGTGAGGTTTTCTGGGCACGTCCAACTGGGAGGAGGCCTATAGGTAGAACCAGGACACGTTGGAGAGACTATGTCTCTCACCTGGCCAGGGAACGCCTTGGGATTTCCCCGAATGAGCTGGCCCAAGTGGCTGGGGAGAGGGAAGTCTGGGCCTCTTGGCTACTGCCCCCGCGACCTGACTCCGGATAAGCGGATGAAAATGGGTGGATGGATGGATGGAAAAGTCTTTGAATAAATTAAAAAGAAACATCCAAGTCAATATAATACAAAAAAACCAAATCCTTGTCCTTGGGCAAGACACTTAACCTGCTGGTTGGAGAGAGCGGTGGCACCAGTGTTAGGCCATCTCACTTCCAACAGTGCACCCTGGGACAGCTGTGGCTACATCGTAGCTCATCCCCACCAGCGTGTGAATGCGTGGATGACTGTGTTGTGTTGTGAAGTGCCTTGGGGGTTATAAAACCCCATGAAGGCGCTACAGGTGCTGGCCAGTAAATTAGAATATCATCAAAAGGTTGAAAATATTTCAGTAATTCCATTCAAAACGTGAAACTTGTACATTATATTCATGCAATGCACACAGACCAATGTATTTCCAATGTTCATTAGGCCCGAGCAGCGAAAGCGCTGCGAAGGCCTCTTGTTTTTGCTCTGATTATTATTAGGCCCGAGCAGCGAAGCGCTGCGAAGGCCTATTGTATCTGCTCCGTTTATTAGGCCCGAGCAGCGAAAGCGCTGCGAAGGCCTCTTGTTTTTGCTCCGATTATTATTCTTTCTTTTTTTGTTATTCCGTGCCCCCTTTGAATGGCTTTTTGGGGACCTTAACATACCCCAAAACTCACAATATTTTGCAACCTTGTCAGGCCTGGTGAAAAATTTGATATTTGAAAGGTCCCAAAAAAATCGCAAAGAAAATGGCTGAACAGCGCCCCCTACAATGTGAAAAAAAACCCCTCTCCATAAAGCTTAGTTTATCGTACAGTTATGAAATTTGGTACACTTGTAGTACTCAACAGTCCGCACAGAAAAGTCTCTTGCAAGCATGGTCAATATCAAACAGGAAGTCGGCCATTTTGGGTTGAAATGGCGATTTTTGGCCGTTTTTGCCGTTTTTAGGGTCAGTTTCTGATTGGATTGCTCGATCATTTTTCGCACGATCGTCTCAAAAATGGTATAAAATTGCTCAGAAGAAATGGCCGAACAAAATGAGACAAGGATTCTGAGTTTTCGTATATGTTGAAGGGGCGGGGCCAGGCCTCGAAGTTTGACTACTCGCCAAAAAAATTAAAACTGCTATAACTTCATAATTGAATGGAATAGAGTTACCAAACTTTCTGTGGTCATTCGTCATCTACCCACAAAGTAAAATGAATGGTCGGATGATGACATCACACAAGCCCCGCCCCCTCAGGACCTAAAAGGTCAAGTTTTACTATGAAAGGTCCCAAATGGCCCCATTTCACTCAATCCCCACAAATTTGTAGCTGTTAACTCAAGACAAGTGAGGGTTGCTTGGCGTCACTTTATGGGAGTTTTCGACAGAGGGCGGGGCTGTGGCGGCGCGGCGAAGTCAGGCGTACCGCCGTGGCCTTACGTTTGCCTCCCATTTCGTCATTTCTAAAAATATCGTCACGAAACTTCTTGTGAGTGATCCTAGTCCGGCCCCCCAAAAGATCTGATGTGAACATCCGGTGGGCGTGGCCTATTTTCTGAAATAGCGCCCCCTAGGACCATTAAAACTGTCAGCCCCAAGCCATGCTTTGACTGAGGATTACGAAATTTGGTACACTAATGTGGTGTCTCAGGACCTACAAAAAAGTCTCTTGGACCCAAGTGCAAAGTCGTACAGGAAGTCGGCCATTTTGGTCCAAGTACGCGATTTAGTGGTTTTCGCACACGTTGTTTGGAGAGTGATGCTCCGTCGTCCTTTTCACCAATCTCCTTCAAACTTCTGCCATATGCTCTTAAGTCATAGGGGAAAAAATTTAACCGTCGGATTTTTCAAAAGTTGAAAGGTGTGGGCGTGGCTAAGCCTCAAACTTTGACCTGTCGCCACGCCACTCTTTTTTTCACAGCTCCCTACTGGACTCCTTTTACCCAATCACCAGGATTCTGTGGCAAACAGCAGTAGACAAGTTGAGGTTACTTGGTCTCCAGTACTGGCAGGTTTCGAAAAAAGGCGGGGCTTTGGGAGCATGGCGAAAATCGCCATCACGCCATGGAAATACGTTTGCCTCTCATTTCTTCAGTTATCGTGATATCGCTACGAAACTTCTGGTGAGTGATCCTAGTCTGAGCCCCAAGAGAAATAAAAAGCTGAAGTTTGTGGGCGTGGCCTATTTTCTGAAACAGCGCCCCCTAGAGCCATAAAAACTGTCAGCCCCAAGCCATGCTTTGACTGAGGATTACGAAATTTGGTACACTAATGTGGTGTCTCAGGACCTAAAAAAAAGTCTCTTGGAGCCAGGCAAAAACTCGCACAGGAAGTCGGCCATTTTGGTCCAAGTACTCGAATTAGTGGTTTTCGCACACGTTGTTTGGAGAGTGATGCTCCGTCCCCCTTTTCACCAATCACCTTCAAACTTCTGCTATATACTCTTAAGACATGGGGGGGGAAATTCAACCGTCGGATTTTTCAAAAGTTGAAAGGTGTGGGCGTGGCTAAGCCTCAAACTTTGACCTTTCGCCACACCACTCTTTTTTTCACAGCTTCCTATTGGACTCCTTTTACCCAATCACCAATAATCTCTGGCAAATAGCAGTAGACAACTTGAGGTCACTTGGTATCCAGTACTGGCAGGTTTCGAGTAAAGGCGGGGCTTTGGCAGCATGGCGAAAATCACCATCACATCATGGAAATACGTTTGCCTCTCATTTCTTCAGTTATTGTGATAGCGCTACGAAACTTCTTTTAAGTGATCCTTGTCTGACCCCCAGGAGACAAACATAGCTGAAATTTGTGGGCGTGGCCTATTTTCTTAAATAGCGCCCCCTAGGACCATTTAAACTAATAGCCCCAAGCCATGCTTTGACTGAAGATTACGAAATTTGGTACACTAATGTGGGGTCTCAGGTCCTACAAAAAAGTCTCTTGGAGCCAAGCGTAAAGTGGCACAGGAAGTCGGCCATTTTGGTCCAAGTACGCGATTTAGTGGTTTTCGCACACGTTGTTTGGAGAGTGATGCTCCGTCGCCCTTTTCACCAATCACTTTCAAACTTCTACTATATACTCTTAAGACGTAGGGGAAAAAATTCAACCGTCGCATTTTTCAAAAGTTGAAAGGTGTGGGCGTGGCTAAGCCTCAAACTTTGACCTTTCGCCATTACATTACTTGACTTAATAACTCCCATGTGCAAGATCGGATCTTTTTCAAAGTTTGTCTGTGTGATCATTGACCATATCTGTAAAAAATGACAATGTGGACAGCTGACATCACCTACGCCCCGCCCCCTGACTACAGGAAGTCTATTTTTTTATGCTGAAATGCCCATATTTGTCCCCTCTAATTTAGTCAACATGACACCAAGGTCATGCACTGTCTTCATGATAATGTATTGACCATTCAGATCTGATAGCTTTCCAGAAAGGGAGGGGCTTTGATGCCATGGCGAATTCTGGCGTAACGCCGCAACCTTACAATTCAATTTAATGGTGAGCTCAGAGGGGATGCTGAGTAAGGGTGAGGTGCGGACTAGGAGGCCATTTGCGGTTTCTAGTGTCGGGGTGGTTGACGTTTCTGTTCTGCCAGACGTGCCCTGGTGCCCCGGGCTGTCGGCCAGGCCGGAGCGGCGCGGAGCTGCGAGGGCCGAACGACGCTGCTTGCAGCTTTAATTAGGCCCGAGCAGCGAAGCGCTGCGAAGGCCTATTGTATCTGCTCCGTTTATTATTATTACGCTTTCTTTTTTCTTCCGCGTCTTTGGGTGGCCTTTAGGGGGTCTTAGCATATCC